TTTTCGGCAAGTTTAACACAACAAGCCACAATGCATAAGATAAACGTGGTTTCTCTACACACACTACATTCAATGACCGTCATCTCATAGTTTGAAAACTGATAATTCCAATGAATTTGTACAACTTTCAAATGATATGAAATCAAATATATTCAAAAGATAATACCATTCATTTCACAATAAAAAGTGGAAATCAACCGTTTTTCCCAATAGTTTACGTGCAATACACATGTTTTTGTCACGAATGCCATTCTCATCGTCTAACTTATATTTCTTTTTTGTTTTAGTCGAACATCAAAAGAAAGAAGACCAGAAAGCTCCGTGGTCACGTCAGTCATGGACACGGTCGTATCGGTGAGTAATTTTTTAAAATATTTATTAATTTAAAAAATGTTTACGAATTTGAGGTTATGTTTTACTAATACACAATATTAATATTTGCAATATAGGCAAGCACCGAAAGCATCCTGGAGGTCGTGGTAATGCTGGTGGTATGCACCATCACCGTATCAACTTCGACAAATACCATCCTGGATACTTCGGTAAATTGGGTATGAGAAATTTCCATTTGCGAAAAAGTGCAAAATTCTGCCCAACAATTGGATTGGATAAATTGTGGTCGTTGGTTGGAGACCAAGCCCGCGAAAAATGCCGCAAAGACAAAGAAGGCAAAGTTCCAGTTGTCGACTTAGTCCAATTCGTAAGTTTTTTCTTTGCATCTGTAAATCATTTTATTTTGACTATTTTTGTGATGAGATTAAACAGTTTAGCGACTGGCGGACAGAAGGAACCGTACAACTCCATTACCATGTTGAACATTTCCAACTGATACATTTTGCGTCCATAAAAAAGTCATTTCGAATTCATGTTAATCCAGTTTACTTATGTGTGTGTTTTATTTGTTTTCAATTTCAGGGCTACTACAAGCTGTTGGGAAGTGGACACCTTCCAAAACAACCAATCATCGTGAAAGCCAAATTCTTCTCAAAGAAAGCAGAGGATAAGATCAAGGCCGCTGGTGGTGTTTGCCTTTTGCGAGCATAATAAATAACATTTGTTATTTTGATTAATAAAAACACGAAATATCATATAAACATTCGAAAGTGTTTGAATTTATTTTTTCTATTCATAATAAGACTACACAATAGTCCAGCTATTGAAATAAATATCTCCAAATTTCAATGGGTTTTGGATTAATCACAAAGTGTTGTTTGATAAGCGTTTCTGCGCTACTTTCTGTGTTCGTCCAACCATTGGTCTACGTTGAAGTCGGAGAAGAAAAATTCAATTTCTCGCTTGGCTGCCTCCATTGAATCTGAACCATGTCCAACATTTCTTGTATCCGACAGACCAAATAATCCGCGCAAACTATCTGGATGTGAGTAAATGGCTTTATAAACTTTTGTCGGTCCAAGTAATGTTCGCCATTTAGATATGACATCGTCACCACCAAGAATGAACACATCGATTGGTCCACTGAAATTGGAAAAAAACGTTTTAATACTCTCATTTAATAATAAGTGTTTTTTTTTGCATTTTATTTGGCAGGTTGCATTACCTGCACATAAACGATTGTAATCTATTTAAGAAGAATTTCCCTTGATGTTCCTCATAGAATTTTTCGGCCAATGCCTTCGTCAATTTCACACTCGTGTGTCGTACAATTTCAATATTATTCTCTTTTATTACATTTTGAATTATTGTTGAGGCATATGGATTTTTTATTATATATGGTTTTAATATCGACAGAGTCAACTGTAAATTTGTCATTTTCCAAATTTGCTTAATTTTAAGTTCTTATCCACAAATATTTGTGACATGTAATTCCAAAAATCGGTTACATTAATTTTTAATTTAAACATATGAAATTTTTTTATTATTGACCTATACACACGAGGATGACACACTATTGGAATTAACCCGCAAAAAATAAATTGACATTTGAATGATTCAAATTATGTTTAATGCCACAAAATCAATGAAAACATTTCCTCGAAATGATCGTTATGCCAAATGACAAATGAATTTACACAATGAAAAGGCACATGAAGACCTTGTACAATATTCATATTTCTTCATTTTGATTCAATATTTGGTGCATATTTCATTTGGTTTATGACAAACTTTCAAACGAAGTTGGTTGCGAGTGCTGTAATTCAATACTGACGTAAAACTGAACCAATTCAATATTGTCAAACTTCATACCGATTGACTAACTTTTTCAACTGTCAACCAAATATTGTTCTTTTCTATTTCGTTTTTCAAAATGGTGGGTACCTCATTGAATTCCAATCCTGAAAAAAAAATCCATTTTTGTGAAAATAATTTGATTAAAATATTTGAAAGCTGCATTTAATGATAGTTTCTAAAGTGTGAAATGCAAAGCAAATCAATGAATTATCAATTATACTGAAGAAAATGCACATTTTTTCGAAATTTTTTCGGCAAGTTTAACACAACAAGCCACAATGCATAAGATAAACGTGGTTTCTCTACACACACTACATTCAATGACCGTCATCTCATAGTTTGAAAACTGATAATTCCAATGAATTTGTACAACTTTCAAATGATATGAAATCAAATATATTCAAAAGATAATACCATTCATTTCACAATAAAAAGTGGAAATCAACCGTTTTTCCCAATAGTTTACGTGCAATACACATGTTTTTGTCACGAATGCCATTCTCATCGTCTAACTTATATTTCTTTTTTGTTTTAGTCGAACATCAAAAGAAAGAAGACCAGAAAGCTCCGTGGTCACGTCAGTCATGGACACGGTCGTATCGGTGAGTAATTTTTTAAAATATTTATTAATTTAAAAAATGTTTACGAATTTGAGGTTATGTTTTACTAATACACAATATTAATATTTGCAATATAGGCAAGCACCGAAAGCATCCTGGAGGTCGTGGTAATGCTGGTGGTATGCACCATCACCGTATCAACTTCGACAAATACCATCCTGGATACTTCGGTAAATTGGGTATGAGAAATTTCCATTTGCGAAAAAGTGCAAAATTCTGCCCAACAATTGGATTGGATAAATTGTGGTCGTTGGTTGGAGACCAAGCCCGCGAAAAATGCCGCAAAGACAAAGAAGGCAAAGTTCCAGTTGTCGACTTAGTCCAATTCGTAAGTTTTTTCTT